TCCACGAATCCAGTTAGTTTCAGCCTTCGTTGACAAGTCGATATTAATCTTTGTAAGCTTCCGGTCTTTCAAGACATTTCTACATATAATTAAGATAGCAATAATGAAAGCTAGAGGAAACTTTTTATTGTTCCTTTAACTGACCCCCGCTTTCGTCCGCCACAATATAATAGTCGGTCTTATACGTAACGAATACTGGTAAGCATAAGTTACTTAAAAGTTAGTTTAAATCATTACTAACACGGTAATTTACTTACTACGTTATACTTTACTTACGTTTTAACGGTTAGTATGAAATACAAATCTTTGAATTTCTCGGTTTTTCTGTTCTATAATATGTGCATGTTATTATACATATAAACCTTCCTCTTGAATCACTCTACCAATTGCTGGAATCTGCATTAAAATCCGTTGAGTAGTTTAAAAGATCTAAACGAACAGACAGCGGAAGCTACTTCATTTTATACTATTTAAAGATTTTATACGTTTTCAACCGACTTCAAAAGGAGGAGGTTCTCAATTCGACTGTATGTTTTTTTTTTTTTTTTTTTTTTATGTTTGTTACCTCAGAACTCCGTCATTTATTAACCGATTTGGACAATTTTTGTTTTGTTTGAAAGGGTATACTTCCAGATTGGTCAAATTTAAATTTCAAAAAAAAATACCACCCCTAAGGGTGGAAAAACAACTAATGATGAATTTAACCTACTTCTAATTGTCATATTGACTTGAAACTTTGCAAGTATTTCTATTTCCGTTGATAGTACAGTGGTTCGGTGCTGTTGACCTGATCTTATGGCAAGGCCAGAAGGTGGATAGGTGGAACTCTTCAACAGCTAATAGTAGATACTTTGAGTTTGGGCTTATTTTGTTTGATTTGACAAGCCTAACACGTTAGAATCCTACTACTCTGTCTACTACTACTACTACTGTCTACACTAAAAAGGGAAAAATAAAAACTTTTTAACAAAAAAATAAAAACCGACTTCAAACAAAAGCACTAAAAAGTAAAAAATAACTGATTGGTAGTTTTCATTTACTATACATACCTAATCAAATATTTTCGAAGTCGGTGTGCTTTGGCTAAGTAATTAAAGCCTACCTATTAAATACATACCTAATCAAATATTTTCGAAATCGGTGCCAGCCCATACAAAGCAAAGCACACCAACTTCGAAAATATTTGATTAGGTATGTATAGTAAATGAAAACTACCAATCAGTTATTTTTTACTTTTTAGTGCTTTTGTTTGAAGTCGGTTTTTATTTTTTTGTTAAAAAGTTTTTATTGTAATTACAAATATAAACAAACAAATTAATTCAATATAAGTTGTCTGCCTGCTGTATTTTTGTAGATATATATTTCTTCCTTTTAATTAATAGAGGGAATAAAGTAACTCCAAACTTTACTCTTTTTTCCACCTTTATCTTCTAAAGCTACATTATATTATTATAGTACCTGGGCAACCTTCGCTCAGTGTAGGCGGTGCTCGTTCAATAGGTTTATCATCCATTGGCGACAATGCAAGCACCACAAAAATTTACGAGATGGCGCTATATGACATTATTAGCATGAGAACAGATAAAAAAGGCTCGTAATAAGTAGTTATAAAATATTTTTGTGAAAAATTGCGTTAGAAAACTAACTATATACTAACTCAAAAAACAAAAGTTTATTTAAATACAAAATTTGATCCAAATAGTTAGAGTCGTTTCCGAGATACACGAAATAAATAATAGATAATAGAAATGCCATCCCATGTGAAAATTGGATTTTTTCGTAATGAAGGAGTCATAGAATTGAACACTTCTAACATATTTACTTAATTTGTAGTAGTACATTTACAAAGCTACAGAACCGATTTGTGTTTTACCATTTCTTGAGATTATTATATTGTTGCTTATTTTAATGGTAATACCTGGGCGACCGAGCTTCGCTCGGAGATTATGGCCAAAAGTACAATTTTCTTTTTAAAAACAAGTAAGACCCTGCTTTTTGCCATATTTTGGTTGTTTTGGGTCGAAAACCTTGGTAGTTCACGTTGACCAAGAATTGTCAATTTTGGTTAGAAGCAAGCACAAGTACAGGGAAAATTCCGAAAAATAATTTTTTATTTTTTTAGTTGAAAATTAAGGTAAATTTTGCTACTTAATACTTTCTTAGATTTACGCGAATACTTGACATTTTAAATAAAACTATGTTTTCGGATTTTTTCGCGAAAAAATCCGAAAAGATAGTTTTATATAAAATTTTGCTACTTACAAGTTATCGCGAAAATCTAAATTTACCCATATCTTTTTATCGTGTTGACTCAGGACCTTGAATATCTGGTATAAATTTTAACTTGCTAGGTCCACCCGTTCCTGAGAAAATCGGTGGTGACACACGGACAGACAGACGGATAGACGGCCAGAAGGACAAGAAAGTGATCTTATAAAGGTTTATTTTTTTACCTTTTGAGGTACGGAACCCTAAAAAACTAAAAACTTGAATAAATACAAAAAAAAAGTTTTGTTCAAACCCGGACACCTGTGCTTGTCAATCTTGCGCTTCGGCCGCTTGACCACGACGCTTATGCCCGAGCGTTCGAAATTAGTAATAACGATATTTTGCGTGGAAATAATGTGAAAGAAAACCGCATGAAAACTCGAAAACACGCGTTTTCCCAGACATAAGACTAATCTAGATCGATTTTTCGCCCCCGAAAACCTCCACATACCGAATTTCAGCGAAATCGTTAGAGCCCTTGCGAGATCGCCGGTATAAATAAATAAATATACAAGTATTGCTCGTTCAAATATAGTAGATAGAGTAAGTATAGAACGTCTTTACATCAAAATGAACATGAACTATGCTTAATGTAAGAATAGTTGTCAAAATATAAAAAAGAAAGTTAACAGGAGCTTAGCAGCGAGGGAGAATATTTTCCTAAAACTTTCTTTGTTTAATGCAAAAGCCCATTTAGGATGACAGATTGTAGAAAAAAATTACGTTTTCGGATTTAAGGGAAGATTGACTATAGCTACGAAGAAGTGAAAAGTGGAGTACTACTGGTGGAATATAGCGCTCTAGGACTGAAATAAACCGTTATAGTGCGTGTATTGCGAAAAGAATTTTTATAAGTGATTCTCGTAATAGGAATAAAACATCTACACTTCAATAACCAAGCATCTATATTAATATTATAAATACGAAAGTTTGTGAGGATGTTTGGATGTATAGATGTAGGTATGGATATTTGTTACTCTTTCACGCAAAAACTACTTAATTGATTTTAATGAAACTTCACAATAATATAGCTTATACATCAGAATAATACATAGGCTACTTTTTATCGTATCGTGGTATAGATTTGTTTTTGTTTTTCTAGAGCCGACCCCGAGTAAACGAGCGTGAGCCGCTATTGTAAAATATATGTATATTTTAGACATATTTATTAATTTTATTATGATACTTGTTTTGGTCCAGAAGGTACTTAAAACGAAAGCTCAAAAAAGCATGTATGTAAGTATATTCAAATTGTTTATTCATTGGATCTCAATTTTATAAAACTGTATATATGTAAATATTAAACTATAACTACAGCGATTGTAGTTAATTCGTGAGAGATAAAAAGGGTGGCAATATTTTAAATTATTGGTCTTAAAAAACTTGACAATCCGAGGAGGGTTGCTAGTTTTACTTAAATTACGTAAATAACGTTATTATCATACATGTATTGTTATGCATCAGGTATTATATCTGAAATGATTATTGAGTATTATTACATTTTTGTGTCCCATTTCACATAACATATTACACTTAATAATAATTGCACCAATACCAACAAAAAACAGATATTACCACTCTCAGTCGATGAAACTGAAGGAAGGAGGTCGAATATTAAAATAAAATGTTACAATTTTAGTCGACTTATTATAATAAGTAGCGACTCACCTTCGCTTCCCTCGGGTTCGTTTTAACGGTAAGTATGAAATAGATAGAGTATACATATGTATATTATATGATATGTATCCTAATAGCCTTCGTTAACAAACAGGCTATCTAATTTAAAAAGAATTATTCAAATCGGATTAGTAGTTCTTTAGATTAGCGCGTTCAAACAAATAAACTCTGACTCTTTATAATTTTAATATTAGTAAAGACTAGCATTGCCCTCGGCTCCGCCCGCGTTTAGATTATTTTACATATTAGTATACTCTTACATTGCAGTTTTTGTATTTTTTCTCAAAAATGAAATATTTTTCGCGGTAAAAAGTATCCTATATGTTGACCCGGATAACCGGCTATCACCATACCAAATTTCATCAAAATCCCTCCAGTGGTTTTTCTGTGATGCGGTAACAGACAGACAGACAAAAATTCTAAAAACTATAGATTCGGCCTCTGTATCGCTAATAATGTTTATTTCAATAAGATTTTCCAAAAAATATTTAATGTACAGATTCGGCTTAGTTACAATTTTATTATATGTGTAGATTATAATCTCATATTAAAATATTACAACAGCCGAAATATTCAGATACCCCGCTGTGAAAAATTAGTACGTGGTAGATACACTTAATGTAGGATAATCGCCTATTTATAGATCATAATCAAACGTAAGTATAACCACATGGGATCGTTTGACGTAGAAGTCCATTTGCAAGCGAAATGTATACAATAATTTATACTGAAATTGCAACATAGCGCTATTTTTGTAAGTAAACAATTAGCATGAAATACCAAAGAAATCAAATTATTTTATTCTCATCAGGATATTCTAACTTGGTGATATTAAAAGCTTCTCTGGATGAATTGTAGTTAAAGGATGTTTAAATCATATATAATAAATAAACTATTTATATAATTGACGGAGGACTTAAAACGCAAGCAAGTTAAGTTACAAACAAACCAAAAAAGTATAGCTTGTCACTCAACATCCGTACTATACCATATTTGCCCCGTACTAAATAGTAAATTCGCATTATTGCAAAGAGGAAAAACCAATGTTTACTAACTTTGATGCTTATCAGCTAATTGTATGAGAGGGTTGGGCAGGTCCCGCCGCCTGTAGAAGCACATGACCTTTGCCTCCACGTTCCCCGACGCCGTTTTGTTCAGTTCCTCTATCCGCCGGATTTGGTACGGAGACGTCGACGACGTCTCGAAATAGACGCAGTCTGTGGACAAAAGAAATAAAAATTGAAATGTAATTATACTAACTTTTTTAAATAATAAATTAGAAAACAGATATTCAAGAAAACATAGTGATGATTCTATATAGTACCCCGAGCTTAAAAGGAGGATACCTTGCACTCTGGAGTACCTCCACCATATACAAATCCTCTGTATAAAGTCGCGCGTCTAGGACAGCCTTGCCGTTCAAAATATTTAGATATGTTAGAAGTACGTATTTCAAACGTATGGTGGGCTAATTAAATGCTGGAAAGTGTGCAATTTAATTATTTCTGCCGATTTCCACAAGCCGAAGAAACAAAAAAAGTCCATAAAGCTTATGGACGACACTTTTAGCCCATCGCACCATAATTTGACGCGCTCAAGTATTTCCATGATATCAACATATTTTTTTAATATTTTGATCGGCTGCCCTAGACGCGCGACCTAATTTATACAGAGTATTTATCTTGGTGGAGGTACACAACAGAGTGCAAGGTAACCCCCTAATGTTCATCTGCCGCGCTTGAGTAATCCCAAAGTCCCCTCTTGGGCTCCTGTATGTACATATAATAATAAAATCGTCGAATCTGTACATTAAATATATTTTGGAAAATCTTTTTGAAATAGTCATTATTATCGATACAGAGGCCGAATCTATAGTATTTAGAATTTTTGTCTGTCTGCCTGTCTGGGAACGCATCATGAGAAAACCACTGGACAGATTTTAATGAAATTTGCTATGATGATAGCTGGTTATCCGGGTTAACATATAGGATACTTTTTACTGACGACTATTAAATATACGACTACTATACTCTACTAATATTTTCTCATAGCAAATTTAAATACATGACAGATCATAAAATATACATTCTGGACATAATACACATAAGAAGTAAAAACTATAACTTTTGAGGGAGCAAAACTATATAATAGTTTACCGAAAGAAATAAAAAATTCAAAAACGTTCAATAGCTTTAAGTCTAGGTTATATAAATATATTCTTTGTAACCAATGTTCCCAGTTCTACTGATCAACTGTCATAATTTCTTATATCTTTATATATGTTTCTCATGTAAAAGACTTGTTCGTAATGAGAAATAAAGTTCTTTAAACCGAAGTATATTATATAATAATCGTGTGAAAAGTTTTTTTTTAAAAAGATATCAATTTCGAGTACCGCGGGTTTATTAGACAGTACACTAACCGGTCCGACAACGCAAAATGAAAGCGAAATGCACGAGAAAGATGTCTTCACGCAAACTTACACTTTGTTCACAATAAAATCGACTCATTCATTTAATCATCACAATAATTTAAGATAGAGGTTTATAAAATACATTTAAAATGATTGTATTTATCTCTTATATGACAATATTAAGGAATTCCTTATTAAAACTTTTTATTAATAAACTTGTACAAGTCTTAATTTTGTTAAGGTTTTAGATGTAAAGATACATAATGTAAAAACTATTAAGATTTTAAATAAACACACTTGACTTATTACCCAACTGTGATGTAGCCCAAAGGAGAATATGTGTTTGACCTGTATGTAGGTATGTATGTCTGACCTTATGTTCCCTCGTGACTAAAAGATTTCGATGATTCATACGTTGTTAGATTCGCCTTGATAACGCGAGTGTCATAGGGTATATTGATATCATTAAAAATTAAAATGGTGGTACATAGGCGACAATTGGTGTCATAAAAAATCATCCAAAAGAATCGAGTGGGGTATCAAAATACAGGTTTTTAAGAGGCGATTACAAAAATATATACAAGTTACATGTTTAAAAATAATTTAGGACCGGAAATTGTAAAACAAAACAAAAAAAATATGTCTAATTAACCAAAACTAAAAAGCTGTAAATAAAAAAATTAAATAAAAAAAACTGACTGCGTAAAAAGCAAACTAAGAAGATGAGAACAAATTGACAAAGGAACACAGTATTATGCACTCGGAGACATACTAATACATATACGAAGCAAGACTCGCAGCTAGTATAAAACATATAAGTACCTGAGCTTCGCTCGGACATTTGGCCAAAAAACGATAAAAAAAAAACAAACTAAAAATTTGAATAAATACAAAAAAAACAAAAGTAAATACATCCGACCGGGATACGAACCCAGACACATGTGGTTGTTAAACTTGCGCCTTGGCCGCTTGACCACGATGCTTATGTCTTAGTGTGCGAATTAGCGACCATATTTTGCGTGGAATAATGCGAAACAAAACCGCACTAAAACTCGAAAACACCAGTTTTCCCAGACATAAAACTAATCTAGATCGATTTATCGCCCCCGAACCCCCCTGTGTACTAAATTTCGTCAAAACGTAATTAGGTTTTGTCAAAATGAATTAAATGAGCCCAAATCCAATGTTTTACTGCTATTGAAGAGTACTGTCGGCCTCCTGCTGTCATTATCAAGTGTCCGTGAGCTCGATGGTTATACTATCATAAGAATTTCACATGTTTTCAATCTATACAACAATTACGAAATTGTGTTTCATTACATCAGTTACATTATTATTGGGTAGGTAAGTAGGTAGGTAGGTAGGTATTGATGGCCGATGGAGCTGACACGTGTTAGAGCGGGGACCACGCTTAGGCAAGCGTAGTGTAGGACGCCCTGCGGCAAGGACCGACGATTTAAAAAAGGTGGCAGGTTGTCAATAATTTTAGCTGCTATTATATAAAAACTAGCGTCTCACCCTAGCTTCGCTCGGGATTGTCCCTAGGTTGATTCCCCTTACAAACTTTCATCCCCATTTTCACCCCCTTAAGGGATGATTTACGGGATAAAAAGTATCCTATGTCCTTCCCAGGGTCTCAAACTATCTTCTTACCAAATTTCATCTGAATCGGTTCAGTAGATCCAGAGATTAACCCCTAAAACCTCACAAGCTCACAATATTAATTATAATTTAAGAAGGGGTTTTTGTTTGAATTGTAATTAGATTAGTCGGGGGATTTTATATTAGATTAAAATGTTTTTGTCAAATTGATATAAAATCATTAATTGCATATTCATCAGTTGCTCATATAAGAATAGTTATTGCAAGGATGGATGCGGGGGCTGCCTATGATCGCGATGGTAGGCATTCTATGGGGGAAGCATTCGTCCAGCAGTGGACAGCGATAAGCTGAAGAATATCAGATACATGTAACAACACCGTATTTAAAAAAATAACAACAAAACCGAAACTTAAGCTCGTAAACTATATTTACCTTCAACGACCCTCATTACTCAAACTATCATTTCCTTTCATTTGTCTCCTGTTTTATCTATTTCATAAACAATTTTTAAATCTACGATAGATTCAAGATATAACAAAAAGAGAAATGCTTTCATAAATTAACGAAGATAAGTACCTACCTACCATCGTCATCAAGCTGTAAATAATATACACGAGTTATTATTAATTTACTTTCTTTACATAATATTTAACAGGTCTTTTAATTAACAGACAACTATTATTAATGCAAGTTTGTACATGTATGTGCATTGTGCAAGTATGTTTGCTTTACCTTCGCGCTGAAACGATTAAATGGATTAGGGTAAAATTCAGTAAATAAATAGATTATGACATACAGGAATAGGCAACTGTTAGGCACCTAGGAACAAACCACAACGAGCGTAACGAGGGTAAGGCGCTAGTTCATATAGATTAGAATTCTTTACAATATTCAAAGACAACCAATGAATTTCAAAAGTATGTACTGCATATGTAAATGTAAGTAGTATAACAGTGCAGAATTTTAATGAATATATTTCAAAAACGAAGTTGATGAACAATTTTTGCAAATTTTATTACGACTTTCATTTCTTATTCCAAGTAAATCCTTTCTATGTCCAAGATTAACTCGTATCGAGTTCAAAATATATACGTAAACTAGTTTTTGATGGTCTCGGGGTAAATTGAATTTAAAATTGACTTAACCTTTTAATATTAGATACGGTAATTTATATTAAACATATATTAAATTTCTTAAAAAAACGGTTTTTTTTTACAACTAAATCTCTCATTTTACTGAAATATTCAACAGAGAGTCGCCTGTGGTACTCTTACTTCATCTATACGCCTACGAAAGTATCGATAAAATTGATTCAGCCATTCTGACGATTATAGTCCAGACTAAAATAGACTAGCGTGAAACATTACAAAAATATGTTTTTTCTATACGCAATTTGCAGGGTTTTATATAAAGTACTTATTCGTTTTATCGATCACAAAAATAAGCTTTTCGTTCATACAATTAAAGATTTCATTTGCGACCGCTGACCCACTAAAGCGTATAAGCGAAACCAAAGGTTTTTTAACTCCTAGGTTATATGCATTTAGGTAGGTACCATCCTACATTCTTATTTATCGTAATTTGACTTCGTCACTATTTAACGTTTCACTCGATAGATAGATACGTATCAAGGCTGTAACATTGGAATGACGGACGTGTAGAAATTATACAGTTTTCGTTTTTGCGTTTTTTTTCTACAGGAATCTTAAAATATTGTAACACAATTATTCTAATAAAAGTTTTAATAAATTCTGATCAAAAATAGAATCATACATATTTGTTACTAGCATTTCCCGCCGCTCGCCCGCGTTCAGATAACCAAAATCCAAATTCTTAGGTTTTACATATTAGTATACTCTTGCATTGCAGTTTTTGTATTTTTTCTCAGCAATTAGACATTTTCCCGCGTTAAAAAGTATCCTATATGTTGACCCGGATAATCAGCTATCATCATATTAAATTACGTCAAATTCCCTCCAGTAGTTTTTCCGACAAACTGACAAAAGTTCTAAAAACTATAGATTCGGACTCTGTATCGATATTAATGTCTATTTCAATAAGATTTTCCAAAAAATATTTAATGTACAGATTCGACTTAGTTACAATTTTATTATATGTATAGATTTAGTCTATATGTAGGTATGTTACATACATAAAATAATTCTTATAAATGAAAAAAAATAAGAAGTAAGAGATGTATT